TAGGCCCCCTTTAGGTACTGAAAGGCCACAATCAGGTCTCCCCGCAGCCTTCTCCTCTCCAGGCTGAACAAGCCCAACTCTCTCAGCCTGTCCTCATAAGAAAGGTGCTCCAGCCTTCGGATCATTTTTGTAGCCCTCCTCTGGACCCTCTCCAACAGTTCCATGTCCTTCTTGTGGTGAGGGCTCCAGAGCTGGACGCAGTACTCCAGGTCCTCTAGAGAGTTTTGGGATGGTTCCTCTGGCCAGTGGAGGAAAGGAGAAAGACCTCCTGCAAGGAAGGTGAGACCCCTCCAGGGCAGGGGCGGAGAAGCTGCTCCTAGGAGAGGGGCAGGCATGGAGGGAGGCAGGAGGCCTCCTGCTCCTGCAGCTCCCTCTTCCCACGCCAGCCCTGCTCCATCTGCTGGCAAGAGCAATGCAGAGCTTCCTGCATTGTTCTTGCCCGCCGGGATCCAGCTCCTATTGTGGCTTCCCCAGTCCAGATTCCCTCCATGGCCTCATTTCATCTACCACAAGGGCCAAGGGTGGGATAAGGAACTGCCCTCCCATGAGCTTCCCTCTATTTTTGCTTCTAATGTGTCATGAAGGTTACAAAGGAGCAAATTAAGTATTGTGCACATTGCATATTCGCCATCTGATCTACTGGTTGGGAACCTGAGTTTGCTGCTCACTTGTGGTCATTCAAGCCCCAGTGAAAATGCCCTGCAAATCCCCTGAGGCTGCATGACGGAGTGGGATCCTGCTGGGAAGGGGGTGAGATGGCCAAATCAGCTCCTGTCTCAGCAAATGCCAGGAAACCAGGGTGCAGCTGTGAAAGGTATTCAGGGGAAACATGAGCACTCCAGCTCTCTGGTTTGCTGCTCAGCAATTTGCAAGGTTACTGTTTTGGCTTTACCTCCATTTTTCCCTTGCCTACTAGGTGTTTAAGGGAATGTGCTGAGGAAAGCTCTGGTCTTTTCAAAATACAAAAGCAACATGGAAAGCATTTGCCATGTATGGATGGCATTGCAAACTTGGCTCACTCTTCTCTGTGCAAGGAGACGCAGGCTGGAGCCCGAGTACCGCGCTGTGCTGCACAGGGGTTTTAAGAAAGCTCCCCTGTGAAAGGCAGTGGGATTTTTAGCTCTGGCACTGTTGGCACAAAGTCGTTTTTCCTCTTGTCCTGCCTTCTGCTATTGGGAAATCATCTGCACCTGGATTTTGCTTCTCTTTTCCATATGGGAAAAGCATCATATTCATCCTCCTGCGGTCCTTGCAGATGGCATCTCTTTCAGCTCCATGTTAGAGGTGGTCAGGTGAACGGGCTGGGCTGGGGTTCCCCACGTCAGCTGTTCCCTTGGGGAGGGAGGAAGGGCAGCCAGTGTCAGACCGATGTTTACAGAAAGTTTAGTCTCCACTGGATTTCCCTACTCCAACAAAACAATGGGAGGGTCTGGTGCTATATTATCCATGCTTCCTCTTTATTCAGATTTTATCTGTGAATTCTTGCAAATAATAGATGACTGAGACCATTATTGTTCTGGGAAATAGGAAGATGAAAACGTTAGACAGACCTTAGCCATTTCAATGGACTTATTCATGGTGTACACAGTTATGCAAGTCTTTGCAGAATCAGGAACTAACAAAATACCTGTTGGAAGAAGTAACAGTCCTGTGTGTTCACAAAAGCAGCTCTCTTATGGCTCATTTATCATGAAAGGTACTGCCTCAGTCAACCAAATGCTACAGAGTTCAGAACAAAAAAAAAAAAAAGACAACAAACATAGCTCCACTCTTAATGCCACAAGATCTCCGGAAGTGATCCATTCCTGGTCTTCTATGTCTCTGCTTTACGAGAGGCATTCTCAATGTAAATTGCACACCCATGATTAATAGATCTTCTATCAATTGAACTTGAACTGCAGTCAAAAGAACATACTCTCTCTTTTTTATTTTTTATTTCTTTTCTAAACCTGCATTAAAAAAGATTATTCAGAAATCTTGGAATGAAAAGTGCTAGGTCAAAACTCACATTTTTCTAGCAAGTCTGTGAAAACTTACTTTTAAAAGTTGCATACTGTAGAATCTCAATTATCCTGGAAAGCTTGTCCAGGTTATGGCTTAAGTATGCTAGTCATGTGCTGCCAGCCCGTTCCAGAAGCATAAGAAGGGCTGTAGTGCCTTGCAAAGCAGCTGAACACTTCCCTGGGCCAGAGGGAGTCCAGCAGCAGTCCAATGGTTTGACTGGAGCGAAGTCCTGCAGCCTCCCGCCAGCCCCGCGCAGAGCTGGGCTGTGCCTCAGCGCTACGAGCCACGGGGCCGTGTGGGTCCTCTGCGGTTCTGGCAGGCCTCTGTGCCTGCCTCCGCATCCCATCCCAAGCCCTGGGAAGTCGTTTTCATCTGGGAACATTGCTGCACAGCCACACAGAGCCGGCTTTGGCGTGGTGCTGTGTGGAAGCTAAGAAGTCTTCATGGGTATCACCAGTCTGTCTGTGGACTGAAACCTCCTGCATCGCTCATGTATTATTATTTTCCATCATCTAGGACCTTTCCTTCTCCTCCTCTTCACCTCAGGTAAAAGGGAGCTGGTAGTATAGCCATGAGCTTATTAATACCTATGGGTCTGGGAAGAACTTCTCTGGCTCATTGTACATTACCATTGTTCACATTTTAGATGCATATGCAATTAATAAAACTTGGGCAAAACTTTAAAGCTTTGACTATACCCTGGATAGATTATGAATTTTATGTTTTCCATGAAGTGTTGTTAAAACTTGCTACCCGCAAGGACTAATTACTACAAGGAGATTTTACTCTGAAAGGAGAGCTTTCGTTCCTCTGCACAGCCTTCCTCTCCGTGTTAGAAAAACAAACATTCCCAGTTAGGCAAATAGGGCCGTGCTCCCAGAGTTTTTCTGTGGGTCTCATGGCATTTAGCGTTCCTACTGATCTCCCAAATTCGGGACAGCGGCGACTGTGTGAGAAGCTTCACTCCCAGTTTCCAAAAGAAATGCCTTGCTTCTGGGAAGAGCTGCCCACAGTAAAAAGGTAAAGACAAGGTAAAAAAGAACAATGCAGTTTAGGCTCACCTTGCACAAGTCCATCAATTCAGGGGCAGCTTGTGATCTGAAAGCCAGAATGGTGCAAACTAATGCAGAATAAAGCCGTGTAAGTGTGAAATGCATGTCCAGCACAGGAGAGGGGAGTTACGCAAGTGAAGCTACTCTGCAGCAACTCCCAATGCGGATAAGCCCTTAATTACTTCTAAAATCTCACCATTACTAAGCCATGCTTATAATTTCTAGAGGCCTTGAGTTTCTGGAACAACTGGAGTATGAGATTCAATTGCATTCACTTCAGTGGAGGATACAGTTAAGTATGGGCATGTTCGTAGGCTTGAGGCCAGTCATTAACTAATTGGTGTACGGGAACATGTCAAGTTTTTCCCATCTCTGATTTTGCAAAGTTATGTGGCAATATTTGCTTATGAGCCTTTTTTTTTCATTTTTTTCCCCCTCCCTTCCCAGCAAAACAAACACCCACCCCATATGTGTATCTAGGGGTTTTGGTTTCTTTTCTTTTTCAAACAAAAGGTTTCAGGGTGTTTGTTTCCTTTGCAGCCATGCAGAGCCTCCCTTCCCAGCAAGGGCACGTCAGCGGGAGCGGCGACCGGTGGAGGAGGCATGGGAGGAATGTAAAGGTAAGAATCTCCCAGCGTTTGCTCTGGGGTTGGTCGACCGAGGGGGGTCTGTGAATCCTGTTGCCCCCTCCTTGGTCCTCCTCGCCCCATGCTTTGTGGCTGGGAGGTTTTGCCGTGTCGTTCCCGTGGCACAGTGTTGGGCACGGTCACCTGGGTTTGGGTTGGCTTGCGGAAGCGTCCTCAGCGTTAGCACATGGGGCCGGCCGTGTCAAGGTGTCGTTCTCCCTTGCAGCTTGTGGTTGGAAGTGTGGCTGGTGGCTCCTTTACGTAAAGGTTAGTGGGAATAAATAACCATTCCATCTTAGAAGAAGGTGGGGGAGGGAATCCCACCCCTATAGGGACTGGAATTTACTTTCTTTAGTGAATAAGGGTCTTAGAGCATCCAGCTTCTTGCTGAATTTAAGCTTGCTTTTTAAAGTATTTTGCATTTTTTTCTCCTTTCAAGTCTACTTTCTAGGTTTAGTAGAGAGAAATAGCCAAATGCAAATTTTATGTAAGTGGTTGCAACAGCCGTTGTCTGTGCGCGTTCCCTTGTTCCAGTCTTTCTGCTGTTTGCTGAACTGGAGGCAACTGAAAGTCTCAGGCTGAGCAGACCACTACAGTGAAAATCCTTGGAAATGCTTCAGTTTTATTCTACTTAATAAAACAGAGCAGCGGTCAGGATAGCGCAGGGAGGAGGAACAGCTTTGCGTACTTCATGGGTCAGGTAAAACACTCCTGAACATTTTGGCAGTGCTCCTCTGACCAGTAGCCGCCTGGGATGCTGTTGGTACTTACATCTGGGCGTAAATTTGCCAGAGAGTTTTGGGAAATACTTTGCACGAGGATGCGCTGCGGGCCTTCCAGGGCTGAACATCCACACATGGTGATCCCCGATGCACAGGGACTGGCTTCACTGACACAGTTATACCCCAATGGTCCTTTCCTACAGGTAGTTAGTTTACTAATTATGCAGAAGACTGCAGATTTGCCGTACGTACTACATGCAGCCAGTGACGCTGGTTCTCAGCTACTGCTTCTGGGGTGGGACAGCAAGCAGCAGGCACGCCAAAGACTGCGGGAGCAGAGTAGAAGTTTTTAGCTCAGGCTACTGATGCAAGACCCTGTTTAAATGAAAAAAAAAAGCAGAAGCAAAGACAGGGGTCAGTCCTAGTAAAGGACTCACCCAGGAGAAGAGGGGAAAGGCAGTTCTCAGTTCTGCTGGGAGCTGCATTGGCCTTTTAATGGTAATAAAGTAGCTTTTGCTGTTAATCTCCGCAGACGCTGCCAAATGCTGAACAGGTCCGGACAAGGAGGCGATTCCCGTCCTGCTTGGCGACTTGGCACCTCTGGGTCAGCGTGGAGGTACGGCTCTTGGGCGTGTTGGGTTTGTGCACCGTGGGCACCAGGGCTGCTGTCGTATGGAAAAGGTGGAAAGCAGAAAGCTAATGAGGAGGCGTCCTTCACAAATCACACACAGAGAAATGTTCAACACAGTGCCCTCGAATGGTTACCCACAAGGAGAGGATATACGTCTAGAATGAGGATGCTATAGCTAATGTTAGAGGTGTTGGTAAGAATTGCTAAACTTTCTGTGAACTAATCTATGACCTTCAAAAACCCCCCAAACAGCTGCTGTAGTGGGCAGGGCTCGTGGGCTGCTTTTCATGTGAAGTTTTTCATACACCTCATAGACTTCTGGCGTATCTGATGTTATCCCTGTTTACAGTATTAGAGACACTACTAATATGTAGGTAATAGAAAATAATTTACAGGGT